GTCCAATAGTTTTTTGAGATATTTCAGTTTGAACCGACGTATTGGACCATCAGATCCACATGGAGCCGTGCTGCTCCAGATGAAATGCAGAGACCATCTGCAGCTTGTATGTAATAATATAATTATTCCAGTAAAAGTGAATCACACAGTTATTGTAGTAGATTGTTTCATAAGAGGGCACTTTCAGTAAAACATGCTGCATATGAAATGGCATGCTGCACCAAATACTTTCAGCACACGAAAGTATGAAGATACCACGGAGGAAATCTGGAAACCCCCCACATAGCTTGTTAAGTTGTTTATTGTTTGGTGGGGGTGTCTGCTTATTTTCCATCTTTTTTTTGTTGTTTCCCTGGAACAGAGTCACTCATGAGTGAATCAAATCTCACTTCCCGCAAATGCAACACAGAAATGCAAAGTGTTTAAGGGAATGTTGGTGGAACTATAATCTCCACTTCACTGTAACATCTGTGTTTCATGGATAAAGCATCAGTGGAAGGATTTGTTATATCCAACATGGCATATTTGTGCTCACGAATGGTTATTGATTGTAGCACTTATTTTAAAATGAGGCTTGAGGTGGAATAAAAGGAAAAAAAAGAAACACTAAAACTTAGTAATGCTGAACAAAATGCTAGATGCGCTGTGCTGCCGTTGGTTCATTTTTCTTTGGTGTTATTATCATGCAAAACTGCCTGAGAATATTCAGCATAATATCTCTTTGGGATATTTCCAACGCAGGTGTTTTTGAAGTTGTATTAGCATAAAACGGCAGTGATCCGTCACATCAGAGGCAAAACATCAGTATTTGATGTCAGTTCCTCAGAATCAAAGAGTGAGGGCTTCTTTCTTGAGCCACCGTTCAATAATCCTGCAAAAGACAGAAATCCTTTGGAAAAGACGCAGATTGACCCGTTTAGACCTGATAGATCTGAGAGACGTTGCATTTTGTGTCACAAACATGATTTTACAAATGTCAAGAGCTCTAACTCTTTATCTTGGAAATGGAAATGTGTGGACGTTTGCTCATCACTGACATACAGCTTGACCGAAACACAACGACAAATACCTCTCACTTCTTGTTTGTTGTTCCTTTTTAGTATTAATGCGAAATTTGAGTCATATGCTAACGATAGCTGTGGGGCCCGGGTATTGTTTGTTTGTTTGTTTGTTTGTTTGTTTGTTTGTTTGTTTATTTAGATCCCCCATTAGCTTTTGCATTGCGGCAGCTATTCTTCCCGGGACAATACAACTATAGTTATTCACAGTACTCATCACAACACGATGACACACATCATAATAACAAGTGACTCAACAAACACAGAGTAAACAATAAACAAGCTCCAACGGACTCCATCATTATGTAACAGAGAGTTATCATCCTACAAAATTGCCTGCCCATGAATCAATACACAAAATTATACTCATTAATTTTGAAAATATCTTCTTAGGTAATGCTCTTTTAGTGTTTTTAAAAAAAAAAAGAAAAACAATATAATTTTTTTTGTTGTACAATATGATTTGGGAGTGAATTCTGTTCCTTTATTGAGTAAAACAACATCCTGTATCATGCCTTGTTGAATAATTATGTAAACTTTTACCATCAATAAAAACAGCAATCTATTTTTTTAAAATCAAGACAGACATTCATGCATTTTGCTAACATTTGTTCTCAACCCAAAAGAGAGAGCTACATGCATCGCTTTATTCTGGACCATGTTGTAAATTTCTTGTGTTACCTAATGAAGTATTTAACCAAACAGCTGAGCGGTAATCTAAGTGAGACAAAACCAAAGCTTGAATTACTTTGCACATCTCTCATTTCCCATTTTAGTTTCCACTCTCTGTTGGTGTTTGTCCCATGATAATCTATTATCAATAATGACTCCCAAAAGTTCTGCTTCCTCCACCTGTTTCATTAACGTGTTGTTGATACTGAGATCAAACTTTGGTTTTTGAACTTGAAGAAGAATTTGTTCCTGTTACAACACTGGTCGTTTTAAACACATTCAAAAACAAGTTTATTACTGTTGATCCAGTCTGCAACCAACTTCAACTCCTGCTCAAGGTTTGTATTTAAACTACCAATGGTTGCCTCTGCTAAATATATTGTAGAGTCGTCTGCATACATTGAGATACGAGCTTTTTTTAAGCTGATGTTGATATTTTTTGGTTTTAAAGTTGTGTTAAGAAACCAAAATCCAACACATTCCCAATGTCTCATGCCAACGCCATGTTGACTTATAAAATACTGACACTGTGGTCATGACCGAAAACCCACTGTCTGACGTCACAATGTCGATGAGCCAATGTTGGATTCTGACGTTAACCTGATTTTAGTTTCCAAGCAAAATTTAACATCTGTCTGATCTGCTGGGAAGATCAGTAGTTGTGGATTTATGGACAAAAAGTTCATTATACCCGCCATGCTTTACGAGAAACTGCAGATATTGGACTGAGATTTTTCTCCTAATCAACAGCTGCATTTGTTTCCACAGTCAGTCACAATTTAAGCAACTTGCAGCGTGTACGGGTAACAGTGTGAATATATGACAGTGGCAGAAATACTCTTTTATCTTCTGAACATCACCAGCTGATTATATCCAACGCTGTAGAGCTCCTGAGTTTTGTCTCTCAGATCCCAGCAGCTCCAGTGGAGCAGCTCGGCGACCAGCGTTTGAAGACTGTGGTTTTACAGAGAAGCCATCTGGTGTGATTTGGTGGAAAAACACAATCAGTCAACTTTCTGTGGAAACAAATACTTGAACTCCCAGAGTGATTGTTATTTTGGCTCAAAGTGTAAATGTAAACCAAACAACTCTAGAGGGGCCAGTGTGCTTGTCAGATGGTTGAACCTCTCCACTCCACACTTTTCCAGCTTCCTCCATCTCTTTTTCATCTTTACACAACTAATTTTTATCTCTGTGTTTGTGTATGAAACGAGTGCAACACTATGAATGTGAGACTATTTGTCGACGTAAAACTGTTATCCCCGCATTTAAGCAATTTTCATGTCTTGCCCTTGTCCTTGTTGTCTTCATTCAAAGCCCAAAGTGTGATCCCTCATTTTCAGATTTCACAGATGAAAAGTCAGAGCATCACCTCAAGACAAGATGCATCATCTGGGAACCATGAATGTCTAAACAAAGTTTGGTAAAAGTAAGAAAAACACTGTGGGAACTTTGGCTGATGTTTCAAGAGCACAGCTTGAAACATCAGGCAAAGTTCAAAGTTCATAGAGACACACATAGAAAACACTTCAGAAAAGGCAAGACAAATATAATTCATAAGTCAAATAAGTATAAAACAGAAAGATTGAGAAATAACTATATAGAAAAATTCATATAAAAATAGTAATATTATACATGCTCTAGCCTTTCTGGATTGTTTCAGATGCTTTGTGATGGTGATTGATGCCTGACGAAGATCCTTGCAGGTCAGAATTAAAATTTCCAGGAGCTATTAGCACAGTGTTTTTGCTTTTAGTTTAATCTTTTTGATCCAGCACCTGTGTAAGTGCTTTTGGATGCGCGTGCTTTACACCCTATTTATACAAAGTTTGGTGCATCTGTTCAAACAATTTCACTGAATAAATGAAAAAAACTTTGATCTGCTTTTTTGGGGCAAGAACAAAAGTCAGAGGACAACCAGCGTCCCATAGGATTCATCCTCTGGGGATCATGAATGTCCGTACAACATTTCATGGCAATTTGTCCAATAGTTTTTGAGATATTTCAGTTTGAACCGAAGTATTGGACCATCAGATCCACCTGGAGCCGTGCTGCTCCAGATGAAATGCAGAGACCATCTGCAGCTTGTATGCAATAATATAACTATTCCAGTGAAAGTGAATCATACACTTATTGTCGTAGATTGTTTCATAAGAGGGCACTTTCAGTAAAACATGCTGCATATGAAATGGCATGCTGCACCAAATACTTTCAGCACACTTTGAAGTAATGAGATTCCACACCAGAAATCTTATTTTGGCTCCCAGTGTCCTCATATTTGTCTGTGTGTGACTGATGTGGAATGATACACTAAAATAACTACAAAAATGTTTCGTCATAGTTTAGTGGTGACTGAGCCATTACTAATTTAAATCACCATCAGATGTGTAAGTGAAGTCAGTTCAGTGGTGCTTTCGCAATATTCCAAGGTTTAGGGAAACAGGAAAACATTGCCTACAGGTCAAAGGTCAACATGCCAAGGAATTACTGCAGAGAGGTGACTGAGAGCAGCAATCCTGAAAACTTCCACTGGGAAGGGAAGCTTCCCAAGCAACATCTCCAGAATGGGTGCACATGAGCACCCGAACACAGTATTCAGATCCTTTACTTAAATCAAAGCAGTAATAATACTCAGAAAATACTCCATTACTCCATAATACTCCATTACAAGCAAAGGTCCAGCATTGAAACTCTCACTTAGTTTGTAAATGATAAATTTATACACTAAGTAGTAAAAGTAAAAGTACAATATGCACAAGAAATGGTTGCTGTGTTATATAACTGTATATTATATTAAGGAATTATTAATACTGATATATTCATATGTAAGTACCACTTTACTGTTTATTGCTGTATGTTTTGTTTGAATGTAAAACCTCAATCTGTGAAGTAATGTAACTACAGTTGTCAGATTAATGTAGTGTCAGGATAATGTAGTGTAATATTTCCCTCTGAACTGTGGTGGAGTCGAAGCAAGACGTGGCATCAGAGTCAGAGGAACTAACAACCCAAAGCCCAGCATGAAATTACATTACAAATTATATTTATATAATATATATATACATATATATAATATGTTGTTGTATGTATGTTTCATATTAAACTTGTTTTTATGAATGAATGTACCCCCCTTACTACTGCTGCTGTCAAAGAGATTGGCCAATAAGCTTCGAGGGGAGGCGGGGCTTATTCTGTCATAGACACGTGTACCGGGAAGTAGGAAGTAAATACAAAGGAGTCGAGGCACTAGTGGAAACAAGTGAGTAAATCTGAAACGAATGAGCGTTAACGTGAGTTTAGGGTGAAATGAAGCAGCAGAGTCAGTGCGTGTTGTCTGTTAATGTCACAAACAGCGTGTGAGTGATTTTACAGCAGCGATATTTCACAACACAAGCGAGCAGGCATTTCAGTTGCGCCGGTTGTCTCTCATTTGCAGGTTAGTCACGTCATTTACCTGTATGTAAGCTGTACTACGTGTGTCCGTGTTCGTACCTGAGTTACACGAAGACCAGTTGTACTGCTCACCGCGGGGCTCATGAAGCCGGATGAAAGCGGGTTTATGTGTCACACACATTTTGCAACTCTTAAGCTTTTTTAGTTCAAATGTCAAGTTGTCAATTAAAGCTTTAGCAATGCTAAATCTGTACTCTCATAACACGTGATTATTATTTATGGACCACTTTCAACTTCACATTCATGAGATGGATATCAGTACTACTAAGTTATAATTATCATAAGGAGTTGTCAGTACATCATTAAGACTTTAACTGCTGCTGCATGGTAAATATTCCCATTGCATGTTTTTTTTTTAAATTTTATTTATGTGCTCATGAAAATGTAATTTGATGGTTACATGAAAGCTGTTCCTACAGTTTACAGTGGTCAATACTTCCACTAGTTATAGTACATATTCATTCGTCACGTAGGAAGGTGAAGGAGTGTCAGTTAAAGCAACTTTAAAGTGAAACAAAGAAACTTTCGACAGATGATAAAATACTTTTTCTTCTTTCTAGAAATGAAAAGTTAAATTCATAAGCAATAAAATGGACCCTTGTTTATTTAACTACTTAAGTAAAGTAGTTGGGTTTTGTAGCTTTCAAGAAAACTCATCTGTAACGATCATTTGTATAACTTATAAGAGACAATCCTAGTATTCACAGCACATACTCTACATTTCTTTTCCTTTACTCTTTACATGATGAATGACACACCAACAGGTTTGTGTACACACATGCAAATAGAGAAGTTCAGGATGTTAAATTCCTGAGCAAACAGGATTTGATGCTCGTTTGCTCTGTGTCGTGTGCTGGAACAAACATTAGTGGGTGTGTGTCAGATGTGAGGTTTTAAAGACACATGTTGATTTTAAGATGAATCATTGAAAGAACATTCACTCCTGTTTTCTCATCTGTTGTGGGTTCACTTGGGATTCTTGTCTATACTTGGGCATCAAAGACAAAGTCCCCAAAAGTGTTGTGGACATGTTGCTTTCACATGCCAAATTTATTATGAACATCGACTTCAAGATGGGGACAATATTTACTTTAGGCTCTCAGGAGTAATTAAATGCAGGGTAGTTAATGGAAGATTTGAATCCACCCATTCTGTTTTCCTCTAGTTCTCAAAGTCTCTCCGGGAAAGATAAGAACAAGATGTCATGATGAAACTTCTTCCAATACGATGTGAATGCAGCGAGATAACTTTGTGTTTGTGTGTGTGTGTGTGTGTGTGTGTGTGTGTGTGTGTGTGTCCAGCTCTGGGGCCATGCTTGAAGGCTACAGCCCTGTCACCCAGGCCCTGCTGGGGACTCTGTTCACGTGGGGTCTGACCGCCGCCGGAGCCGCCCTGGTGTTTGTCTTCTCCAGCCGACAGGTACCGACTGTCAGTCTGAGCTCGAGGGGACACTTCACACGCTGAGAGAGAGAGTTGGATGAGAAAATTGATACCACCAAAATATGTCGTTATTGTCGTGGCAAATATGTCACTGGAGCCAACAGCTGTTTAGCTTAGCTTAGCTTAGCATAAAGACTGGAAACAAGGAGCGACAGCTAGCTTGGATCTATCCGAAATATGAGGCAACATCACGTTGGCTTGGCTCGCCGCCTCCCCCTGATTTCAGTCTATGTGCTATGCTAAGCTAATTGTCTTCCTGCATATTTTACGGACAGATATAAGCATGGTATTCATCTTCTCATTTAACAATTTTTCTTTTTAAATATGCCTATTTCCTGTTCCTTTAAATGTGGTTGTTCTTCATGTTACCATACAGCTTCATTTAATGTATCTAATAGAGAATAATTCATATATCAGCGATAAAAGAATAATTTCCCAGATGAGAACAGCACATAGAGAAAGCCTGTGTTATTTATGTTAGCATAACTTATGCTCTAAGCCATTCAGCTATAGTGTTGCTAGGAGCTGGGGGCTTCCAATATGACTAACAGAGAGTGTGTTACAGTACAATACATCCCATGATCCCAAAGGTTATTTTTTTTGTTATCTTTGAACCTCTGTCTCTCAGGACATGTTGTATTTTCGCCTGTTATGTCAGTAGTAAGTGGTTCACTGAAAGGTTAGATGTTACACTTTCAGGGTTTGAGGATATTGATCTGACTGAATTGCACACAACCTTTTCTCTGTGTCTGCCTTTTTCAGAAGCGCATCTTGGATGGAAGTTTAGGCTTTGCAGCTGGGGTGAGTTCGATTTTTTTTTTTCTTTTAACTGAAACACACATACACATGCACATACACACACACATGCACATACACACACACACGTACAGTAGGTACAGTAGGAGGATGCCACCATGTGATGAGTTTATGGACATTTGACTGTGGGAGGCTGAGTTTCTTCCACAGACAGACAAAGCCTGACACGTCCAGATGCCACATTTATTCCTAAAAGTCTGAGATAAATCTTCCTCTTGAAGGAGAACTCGTCTTATCATGTCTAACGAGGTATTATGCTTCTTACAATTACATATTTTATATATATATATAGCAAAGTACTCATTTGGGTTTTAAATCATGAACTGCTACACTCTCGCATCCCAACAAGCTGTAAACACAACATGCTACATACATGTTACATACGTGTGACATCACCATATTAGGTTGCGTGGGAAAATATCTGGCACGTTAGCCTATAAATGCTCCACTATATTTACTAGCTAGTTGCTAACTGAATTCGCTAACTAAATTAACTGTATTCTTTTACTATTTTTGACAAATGTACAGTTGTGCATTTAAGAAAACTATAGATTCGATTTTACAGTTCTTATCGCTGGTAAATGGTGACATCATTTATTTTCAGAGGAGAACTTCTACATTTTATTTGTAGGAAGCTTCATAAATAACTGTCTTGTGCTTGTGTGGAATGGACATTGTTTTTATTCCTGGTGAAAAATTAATTCCCAGCGCTGATTCTCAGGTTTTTGATAAGTGAGTTGCAGATAAGTGGGTTGATAAGACTAATACCAAATGATGAGAAATTCTCCACACTTCCTTGAAAATGAGAATGGTAGGAAAGAAAAAAAAAAAATCTTATCTCCATCTGTTCTTATCTCAATTTACTCTGCTTTGGTCTTAACAGCTTTTTTTAATTACTTCCTGAAATAAGATGTAAACAGAGAACAGCTGAGTGCCGTTTCTGTCACACATCTGTTTAACCTCTTTCCAATTTAAATATCTTTCTGAAATATATTTTCAATGAGCTCGTCCACCCGGCGTCAACTCTGTGAACTATTGATACTAACTGGCAGTTTCCAATTTTACAGCCTGTTGTTGGTATGATATGCTTTTAGCGTATTTTATTTTAATAAGAGACTAAATTTAGACTGTTCATAACTTATTACATCTAAGTTTTCACACCTGATAATTCTGTAGATGGTTTATTAGTAGCTGGGGGCTTAGCAGAATGTATGAATGCGAGAGTAGAAGTGCCTTTTCTTATTTCTCTCTTCTTTTTTATTGCTCTACTTTGGCTCCAGTTTGGGTTTTTATCACTTAGAGTGTAAAATGTTAAATCAGATTTTATTAGCTAATCTTGTATGCTAACCCAGTTCCGTTGCTGCGACCGGTGCCAGTGCTAGTTCTACATTTTGTTCACTATGTTCATCTGTTAGAAAGATTCTCTTACTTTTTCTTCCCACTTTGTATTTGCACACTTTGTTTCGCACATTAATGCGTTCACACGGCAACAACACGGCAACACGGCAACACGGCGTGCACTCAAGTTGAACCTTTAGTCACAGAATACGTTTCCCTGCAGGACAGCCACGCTCAGGTCCAGCACAATACTCCTAAGTGTAACATAAAAAAAAAACAATTGTGTGTGTGTGTGTGTGTGTGTGTGTGTGTGTGTGTGTGTGTGTTAGGCTTGGTGGGTTTATCATGACCTGCATGTCTCGGGCTTTTTGCTTCTCATGTGATTCAGATGCCGTCCTGTCCCCATGCTTTTGCATCTGCTCTCCCCCTAACTCACACACTCTGATCCCACACATGCAAACACACACACACACGCACAAACACACACACACACACACACACACAGATTCAGATACAGATGGACTCACGCACACACACACACACATACAGACACGCCATACAGTCTTTGTCACAGCAGAAAATGGCGTCCTGCTGTCCCAGAACACAGCGTCTGTTTGATTATTGGCGAAGAATAAAACCAACTTGCCGTATAGTTTATTCGATTCTACATCTCTGTATCTCTCTCTCTTCCCGGTCCCACCTCTCTTGGCATGTTTCAGGTAATGACGCTGTTCGTTCTTGGAGAAAAGTGAAAGCAGTTACAGCGAATGACGTTAATGGGCGACATTTAATCCCAATCCTCTGTTTCTTTAAGTTATTATCCGGAACATTTTAAACAAATTTTTTTTTCTCCCCTGTTCAAGGCTGACTTCATTCAATTCCTCCGCAGACAGTTTATGAAGGCGTCTCCAGCTGTCTTCTGCGAATTTACACCCATGCACAAACAAATTTTCATTGACTAATGAGTTTTCACTGCTGTGTAAGGACGTCACACTGCCTGCTGCACTGGAACGAACCGCTTCCAGTGAACGCAATCCGGGCGGTATTACCCTTCCTTCAGAAAGCATCAGCCAATGTAAACTGCTTATATACAGTATGAACAGAATTTTGTAGGAGACGTGGTGTGGTGGGTGTTTCTTTGCACTGTGTTTTTGCGTAGTTAGAAAGCAAAGATCATTTTTTATTTGTCTAGAAACAAACCTCCAGAAGTTTATATAATCAAAAAAAACATTATTTTTCCTCTCCCTAACTGGTCTAAAAGTTTTCAATAAAAACACATATTTCCTCCATTTAGACACAAAACTGCACTGGGATAAGAATTCACTCTCCTGCAGGATTTAGCCGAGCATCACTCTGCACACGAAGCCTCTGTTTAATTTACATCAAGAGGAAAAAATAGCTGAAACAGCGGGATGTCAAAACTGTGTGTTTATTGCCCGCTCGAATTCTAATACCACACATATTCAATAATTTCCCTCCCGCGATGTTTGTAGCTGTTTGGCCTGAATGCACATGATGCACAAATGTACTAATATATACAAATATACATCCTGGATAAACAGCAAACTACGCCGTACTGGGCTTTTGTGGCGAACTTTACCGGTGTGTGAGTTGAGACAATGTCTTGCTCTCAGGAAGGAGACGTCTTAACGCAGAGTTATATCTTTAGTTGGATGTTTATCCTGTCCTCGTCTGAGACCTGACTATCTTACATACGTTAGGTTACACCCTAGGCGCTGCAATCCTCTCCACGCATTTTAGACGTTTGTTTCCCTCAGTGCGGAAAAAACATATCAATGTTAAATCTTTGAAAATAAAACATCAGCCAGAAACAAAGCAATTACTTTCACCGTCCAGACTGAAGGAACGTTGGAGATTGACTGAGTTTCCTGTGGCTGCCAGTAAAAACACAGTTAACTATAATAATAGCAATAAGCACCATTTTATATAATTATACCATGTGGGATTCTTTTTTTTTTAGGGTGTTTGGGTGTTATTCTTCACAGAATTCAACCCACGGCACGTCCAACAGTGATTTTTGGTCACACAGGTTGAAAACGAGCTTGAAGGAGCCGTAGCGGAGGTCTAGGCATTTGTCCATATGGGCATTGCTTCTGTTGCCGCGCTGCTGCCAGATACATGTTGTGTGTGAGGTGAATGAGCATTGGCATCCAGGGGGGGTTTGACAGGACCTATCAGGAATACCTAATAAGAGTGGCATGTGGTCGTTTTTGCATGCAGTCTGTCACTGTACGAACAAACGGATGCAAGCAGAATATAAATGTTTGGGTTTTAAATGCATCACGTGTAGTTTTTTCAGTTTACAGTGTTTCACCTTAATACCTTGCACATCACAACAGATACTTCATTTATATTCTGTTGCATGCAGAATATTTACAGTTTGTAGGTGAAGCGGAACAGGAAAGTCTGTTCATATTCCTCAGGAAGAATTGGATCGAAGACCTACAGCGTCTTGCTTAATTATCAGCCCTCTGCTCGCCCTCTCTCTTGACGCATATATAGAATTTCAAATGAGCATTTTTTTTCTTTTTTCCCGAGCCGCCCTTCCACCTCTCCATCACAAGAGTCTCTCTCTCGCTGCATCAGAATGATTGGATTCACCAGCCAGTGTCAGATCGCAGCGCTGAGTGGCTGTGAGGACATGCAGGAGGGAGAAACTGCCATTGGATGTGAGGTGTTGTGGGTGAAGAGGGAACGCAGGAAGCAGATCAGGTGCACGAGGTTATCACGGGCCAAATCTGTTGTTTTCAGGAGATATGCTTTGCATGAAGGGTTGAATGCTAAGTACTTTCACTGCTTCCTCTTTGCTTTTTTTTTAATTATGTTTCTTGAGTAAAGGATGAACATATTTTACATTCAAGCCCTTTTATAATCGAGTTCACACAATGCTGACTGCAGCATTTGAACATAAAATATTCTCGTTAATCCTGCGTGAATAATCAGTGTGTCTGTGTTTGTTTGCATGGCTGAGTGCAAATCAAACTAATTGAATCGTGGCGTTGAGTAAAAGAGAACCAACACAAGTGACAGGAGGAATGTAAACGCCGTCTCATAATCACATGTGGCTTTCCTCACGGCTTTAAGTCAATGTTGAGACGTTGTTTTATCCGGGAAGATGGAGAGCTGCGGGTCGTACGCCTCTTACAGCAGATCCAACATTCTGCGACTGGCTGAATGTCAGCGACCAAATCAGTATTCAGAGCGAGAGTCTTCGCTTTAATTTAAAGCCCCGCAGTCAAAAAGCTCAGGGCTATAAGAACGACAGCGTAGCTTTTAGAAACTCCTCTCTGGGCCGCTGCATTACCTGCTCTCCCCATGAATAACTACATCCTCCCAACGTTAGTGCTTTTACACCCAAGTTTTAAACGCGAGCTGGTAGCAGACAATCTACAGGTGCGCTTGTGCTTCCATTCTAAACTGTGGATTGGGTGAGAAAATAGTGGGCGGTGCTTCGACCATACAGGAAATGCTCCTTCTGCGGGGCAACGAACTTATTTTATACAAATATTCAGTTTAAATATCTTCAGATAGAAATTAAAGCTTTAAATGAAACTTTGAGCTCAACAGGAAACGGTTCACCTTTCTCTCTCCCACCTGAATCACACTCCTCACTCTCTATTTCCTTC